GCGCAGGGATCGATTCCACGTGTTTCTCGCAGTGGCGCCTCCAACCACTGCGCCACACGCGCCCTTGGTTGAATCGCAGTTCCTCACGGTTCGTAAGTCTTTGCTTCTCATTAAGATGACCGAAATAGTGAATCACAAAAAGTTTAACAGTAGGTGTGGAAAAGATGCAGTAGGCTTGAGTGGTTCCTTGTTGCTAGACAAGTTTCGCGTTCGAGTCTGCAAAACTGTCGACGTGCCTATCCTGATAGACTGCCCCTTTCTAGGTCATCCTCAGATGGTTGTGGGTGACGTGCCCACAGTTGAAACGAGTGCACTTGAACGGGAAACCAACGACTTCACGGAGTACGAGATGTCTACCGATGGTCCACTCAAGTTTGATTGGGCGACAGTTGCCGATATCGTGGAGGTCACCCTAATTAAACAATAACTTAGACTTCTGGTTTTCCATTGAAAACGAACCTTGTATTTTGACAGGCAACGTGCGAACGGTGAACCTAGTTCATTTATGAAGATTGGCGGAAGGCTCTTCAGGTGTTCATGTATAATCACATTTGAACTTGGTGCTGTGCAGTTTATCACAGGCGAAATTGCACGTTGGATTTCGAAAGAGAGAAGTATGACATAACCACTCTTGTTAATTTCATATGAGGGTGAGGAGACGTAGTTAATGAAGAGATCACATTAGTTGTCGTGGATGATTTTCTCCATTGCCGTTTTTGAAGTCGTCGGTTCATTTTAGGCGCCAAAGTACAATTACCTTAGCCTTGAAAAAATTGGCGAGGATTTAGTTACACGTGTCGAAGTTGTTCCAAACACTGCAGGTACAGACACTACTTTGCCATTTCATTCCGTAGATCATTTTTTATCGCTCCCTTAAGTAAGGACACGAGCTGGAGATTACTTGAACAATCCCACGTCGGCGCCGCATGTTGAGCGTTTCTGGGGATAGACGCCCTTTGCTAACTTTCGAACTCTCAGTTTACACAGCGCTAACGTCAAGATGTTGAATAAGCCGATCGTATTCCGTGTCGGTGTTACCAATAACAGCATCTTTCCAAAAGACAACCAGTGTACTGAAAACATTTCAGTTTATCACGCTTTTGGAACTTCCTTTTCAAACTCGGCGACTTTGCCTTCTTTTCGTGAGGAATAGAATACTGCGTGAGCGAGGCCATGGTGCAATCCGGCATAAATTTTGGGCCAAATGTGACGGAAGTTGTGCAAAAACCTTCGATTTTCTACGATCTACTCTCACTCTAAAACTCTAAAATAGGAGACTCTCACACGTTCTTTGAGACTCAATTTTAAGTATTCGATCTTAGTTGCATTCATAAAATCAGAAACTGTTCGCTTTATTCTTTCTACTCCAGCCCATGGATAGCAGTGTAACTTTTACCAATTATTCTACTGGGTCACATCGGTGTTGAAATTGTCAATGTTGCCTTTTACAAGAAGTGGTAAAAGTATTCTTCTCGGCAAAAATTCTCTAAGTCCAAAAACAGTGCATTAACTGCATCAACGTCATAGCTTGACATAGGTTGATTTCATAGATTGTACCAAATAGGCAGCATTTTCTCGTCTCGGCGGGCCGGATAACGTCACACGTGGCCTAGTTGGTCTTCATTATCAGGAAGATCAAATACATTTGAGGGTCCATTATAAGTTCAGATCTTTGGTTGTCATGATGCAATCGAGCAGCCAACTACCATGTTAGTTTCATTGCAATTCAAAGTCTCTAATGTAACTCAGTGGTGACTTTCAAGAATATATAATCGATTATGTAAACTTGTTCAGCTCGAAACATTAAACTTCGACACCATCTTCGCCACATATTGAAGGCGGTGCGTAGGCGAGATGGTTCTTAAAGCTGCTTTTGGCTTACATCGTGTCAATCGTAATCGTTCGACTTATGTTCTCAGTTGTTCAAAAGGTGAGGCTTTTGGCCGAGCACTGCGAGCACTGTGGAAGTTCGGTGGCATATCATATCTGCCGCATATTCCAAGGATCAGTTCTGCAGAATTATCAAGTCTTCAATGGAGGTCTCAAGCGCAAGTAACCGCGAATGGTAAACACAGATCGTCACCTTACTTCGTTTTATGCTGCCTGAAATGACCCTAGGATTTTAGCAGCCTCTCTGTGCTCGTCCTACCCAACGCTGTCGTATCCGAAGCCTCTTTAGGAATGAGGAGAGTGAGGTCTATTTCTTTCATTGTGCTTGCCTTTCTCTAATTCGCTTGCTGAGCTCTGAAACTAGAATTAGATATATTCACGCATAGCTTGCCCGTCTGCGCTCCAACGGACCTCACATCTAGCAGGATGAGGGTAAATCAGTGAAGGAGATCTATGTCAGATGAATATCAGCATTGAAAATGATAGCAATTTAAAAGTCGATGCGGTCGCCCCTGCGACGTTTTTTGTCGAAGCGTAAAAAAATATTCCAAGTAAAAATGAGTGGGAACATAGTTAACGATGCAAAAAGCGTCGACGTGTATCCATGTCATGACAAGAGCGATGGATAAGTGGAGAATGCTGTTCTCTTTTTTGACGTCCAACATTTTATCTCTTTGGAGAAGCGCCATAAAGTGTGCGCGCGAGTAAGCCCTAGATCCAAAACATTCAAAGAACTTAGCTCTTCTTCACACGTCACTTGTCGAACTGGGAAGTTCCGATTTAATGGGGAAGTAACAAAACAATATTAGGCCTAAAAAGGAAAACCTATCCAACATCAGAGGTACCTTTCTATATTATAAAAACTCGAATCATTTTATTTCTCAAACGATAAGTGCTCAATTAATTGTTTCGTTTTTTCATAGTTTAATCGGTTATTTCTCTTCTTTTTTGTTCCATGTTGCGGTTATGGAAGTAAAGTATGTCATCCAGTAGGCACACAGTCTTCTCCATCACAACTTCAAAACGCTGAAACGACGTTGTAGACCTAATTGTTCGTTCTCTGACCTGGATGTATTACCTTTAAAATCACCTTCTGATTTTGTTCTTTATCGCCACTCTTACAAATTATGTCGAATAGAGGCCCAATCATAGGCATTATCATCAAACCGCCAAGAGGGAAAAATCGGCGATACGATTCTTTGAGCTAAAAATATCTCTCTTAAGGCATATTTCAAACGCGAAATAAAATTTTTTAGGTGATTTCTTTTCGGTAGACTGATTTGAGCCTGCAATGGAAACAAAGTTGGACTTCTATTGCACATTCGAGCAATGTTCCAACTGACCTGCTTCAACGTGTAGGGCATGTCTCTGTTACCACATTCCTCTTTCAAGTATCCATAAAACTCGTCCAACAATTCTTCCCATTGTTCTTGGCGGTCTTTTCCGCTAAGACATGCACACATCACACGGACGAGATCAAATGCGGGACATCCAAAATGAGCAGTCTGAACAATGGCTTGGTGAAGAAGAGTGAACGATCATATTGGGCGAAGCTTGTCACTAACGCATTCAAAGAAAGGTTTTAA